TCGAAAACCATTAATATCCGCGGAATTTCTGCAGAATTAGCCCTTTCTTCTTGCAGAATTCACTAATTTCACTTGCAGAATTGAGCATTTTAACTTGCAGAAAACTGGGGGGAGTGTACACATAATATACTCATTGCATAGAGAAGGTACTTTTCTTGGTTATTATATTACGAAACATATGAGTTAAAAAATAATTTGTGAAGTTTTCTTAGTATAGTATGTTTTTACGAAAAATAGCATGCTCCCCCATGGTGGACAAATCTTTCGATCACACCCCATGATAGAGCCAAAATAACTATTGAAACAACATTATGTGTACCATAAATATTCTCGATATGGCTAATACCCCTTTCCTTTTATTGTTCTCCATCAGTTCTGATTGAATTAGCATGTGAAATTATGCCCAGTAGACACAATAGAGGCAGAATTGATGATGTGACGCAGAACTTGTGAACCACTTTATTCTCGATCAAAATAAAACTTGGCATAAAAGCCAAAGAAGATGGCATATAAAAAACATATAAAAGTAGAATACGTCTTTAAAAGTTGTATGGCCACCATTTTGAAAGAAAATTCTGATATACTGTATAAAACATTTCATTTATATCTACATGAGGTGACTAAACATTAGTTGCTATTTCTACATTAGGCCATAAGAAGTAGATCCTTTGTTTTGCGTCCCCTTGCTTGCACGATTTTGAGTAAATCAGAAAAAACAAACACAACCAAATAGCAATCACAAGGGTCTGAAAGTACCATAGCATTTCATTCAGTCAGAATTGCAGGTCACAATTGACAGTGTTATTGATTACTTTGGCATGTATTGTGTATTTTTGGTTACCTTTGAATAATAGCTATGTTTAAATATATTGTATATGATGTGTGTGTTGCAATGTGTTTGAAATCACTGCAAATCGGAATGTCATCCCTTTTCCCATAAAATGTATACATTTCTTTTCTTTTTTCTTGAGTTTGTGTTTGTTTTCTTTGTACCCTTGCATGATTTGGATTTTGCTAGGACGCAAAACAAAGAATCTATTTCTTGTGGCCTTACATGTAATTCAATTGTCCATGATTTATATTTCTTTGAAATTGAAACAATTTATACAGTTATAGCTTCGAATTCCAAGAACTCGTTTTATTTATGGTAATCTCACGGAAATATCCTTCAATGAAGGCTGGAGGGAATGAAAGGCTTCAGAGTTTTAAATAGCAATTGATAGTCACTTTGACATGTGCAGTCTAACCTTTCCCCCACATACAACATTAAACATTGAAATTGACTTTTTACAATGAGCGGGATAAATTGAATTTTGAAAATATACTTATATTTATCCCAACATTGGAAATCTTACTCTGAACGCTTCTCAGCTTCTGATCTTCCATCAGCCCTCAAGCATAGTTATATGATCCAATCTATTCAATAATCAGAAAGATAATCGGAGATTCAAAGTAACATTATTATTTATATTTTTTCAGTCCTCGATGGTGTCTGAGCAATTTCTGGGATATCAGTGACGTAACTGGAATTGGACGACATTTTCAACTACAGATTTCTTCGGATTTGGGGATTATAGTTCAAAAAGCTTTGTCATATATCTTAATTACATACATACCTATCGTTTGTGCAAATGCAACTCTACATAAATGTTTAATATAGAGTCACAGTGAGCAATGAAAAAAGCACCTCTGTGTAATCCAATGGGAACGAACCCGGATGTAGACGAAGTTGGACAATACATGAGAGCTCTTCAAATGGGGAGGTAGCTAAACTGAACTAGATTAAACGTTATCGCATATTGGTATATTGCATAAGTATACCATAGCATATGATTTGAGTAATGATATCATTTATGAATGCAGATATTGATATCAATGAGTGAATTAAAATGATATTACTCAAAATTCATAGGATGTTCTGTTTATCCCATAGTTCACTTATAAATCTAAACAAAGATTTCAAAACAACATTCACTCATCATGTGACGTCATGAAATCACCACATAACAATACATGTCACATTGGCGTGAGTTTTCAAATCCGGGAAAAAGTGATATCTCTGGAATATTCTCAAAACAATTTTTGAAACTTGAGATCGTGCCCTAACTGCATGTATACGATTATTGAGAAACTCATCCAAGAAATGGGTTTAAATTGAGAAAACAAAATATCTTTCGAAAATCTATCACTGGCACGCCCGGTGATCGTGAAAATGGGACGGAGGGGGGAGCAGGCAATTTCCGCTAGAAAATTCAACAAATCTGGTAAAATTATTTTTTCAAGACAGAGTTTACGATTGAATTGCAAATTGAATAAGCGCACTGTATGATAAAATATGTTAGGTATTCTAGGATTATTTTTCAACCGATACTCTTTTAAGATATAAGATCTATTAAAAAAGGCACAGCGCAACCAACGTGCAAAAGTCAAAGTTTTTGCTATAAATCAAGCAACAATGGACTACAGGACCTGTAATAAATACTTGTAAGTGATGTTATCATAACTAAATTAATGTCATTGCTGAATTTATAAAATAAGTTTCCATACGTAAAATAAAAAATAATCGAAAATAATTAAAATTGGACGAAGGGGGGAGGGGACGGAGGGGGGAGTAATAATTCTATAAAGTGAAACAACTTCACACGAATTCTTGTATTTGAAAAATGAACTCATTAACTTAGTAAGAAACTGGATGATATACCCCTGGAGACTGAAAAATGGGGACATTTGGAGTAAAAGGACTTAAAGTCGCGAAACATCTCTAATCATGTCTTATATACATATTGCTCCCCCCCTCCGTCCCCTCCCCCCCTCCATCCCAAATTCATTATTTTCGATTATTTTTTATTTCACATATGGAAACTTATTTTATAAATTCAGCAATGACATTAATTTAGTTATGATAACATCACTTACAAGTATTTATTACAGGTCGTCCAGACCATTGTTGCTTGATTTATAGCAAAAACGTTGATTTGTGCCTGTTGATGGCCTTGCGCCTTTTTTAATAGATCTCATACCTTAGATGCGTATCGTTTCAGAAAAAATCCCAGAAAACCTAACATATTCTACCATACCGTGCGCCTATCCATTTAGCAATTCAATAGTAAACTTTTTCTTGAAAAAATAAATCTTCCAGATTTGTTGAATTTCCTAGCAGAAATTGCCTGCTCCCCCCTCCGTCCCATACTCACGATCACCGGGTGTGACTGGAAAGCTGGCCATCTTGATGCAAAAACGCGATACCCCCAGTGAAACTATAAATTTTTTAATATTTTTTTATGCTAATAGCAACTTAAAAGCATCATGGGTACTACAGTTCCTGTATACAGAATATTTATGACATTCAGGTTCTAACGAAAATGTGACTTTTTAATATCAATATCTCCATTTTCCCAGAAAGAATGTGTCCATTGGCCATCTAAGTCGAAAGAGTGATCTTGTTTGACAAATCCGCGAAAAAGACGCGAAATTTCAAAAAGAATTGAAAATTAGCGAAATATAATAGCCGCAAAATTTCAAAATGCCAAAAACGCGAAATATAATAGCGTCAAATATTAGTGGGAGTGCAGTATTTCATTTGGCATCAAATACTTATATTAGAGCTGGAAACCACTCATTGAAAGAAGATACACAATAATATCCACACCACAAATCTCCATCTCCAATTTGATATATTTTTGTATTATAATATAGTGATATTATATACCATATCAGTTTGGAGAGCCTCAAATGCTAAATATGTATATTCATCCAGTGCCTACAAAAATGATCATTCCAGGGTAATAATAAAACATGTACAGATATGTATACAGTTTCATTTTGCACATAGTCACTGCGAGGAAACATTTCAAGTCGAATGGATAAGTGGTTTTCTTAGAATTTTGTATACAGTTTTTACCAGAATACTCAATCGGTCGGGTGCCGGCCGATGAATCGGAGCAAATGTGACCCAGGCATTACCAGCAGCACAATAAACTAATAAAAGCACCTTTTTCAATGTGAAATAAAAATATAACCAAATTTTTTCCTAGACTATACTACAAGTATTTGTACATGATTGCATGTATATGTGATTGTGAAACATTAGACCAACTGCCATAGTGCAAAGCTGAGCACACATTAATGGAGCTAGCAGATGATGTTCTAGTCTAGAACTTGGCTCATAAATGGATCAATAAGCGCTCATAAATGTCTGACTAATACAATGTTTTATTCTATTATACTGAAGAGTTGATCATCATAAGTATATTTATTGTACCTACTGTGACATCTTTAATTAATGAACTTTCTCTTAGCAGACCAGACCACTTCTGACTGGATTCTGTTGTCTGTAATTTTCAATAGCTTGATTTGCATTCCCAGACTTCAGAGGTTGTGTTCATCTGGTGAGATATTTTGTCCTTTTGATAGTTACAAGAAAGTGAAAGGGAAAGACATTTTTTGACAGATAATCTCAAAAATCCTCAAAAAATTTATCATGAAATGATGAAATGAAGTCAGTACTGATGTTTTTTTTATTATAAAATAGGCATGGTGTGGAATGATGAAAACAAAAAATGTTGTAAACATTGTCAATGTGTGACAATCTTTTTGAAACTTTCTTGTCAATTTAACTCTTCCTTGAAGAGTTGCAACTTCAAGTTAGCCGTCTCAGGTTAGCTACTCGAGGATTTAGTGCAGGATGACCTCAACTTGAGCAGAAATTGATTCAGTTGACCAAATTAATATCTCAACTCTTTTTTAGTATGGTAGTATTAACAATATACAATGGTATTTCTTCATTATATCACTTCAAGTATTCCGAAAATCACACTTTCTACATGTTGTATTGTACATACACTGACATCTATCTTGAGAGAAAGTTTCAAATATGGAAGTCTGAAACGGCAAGAATTCTCGCAGTCAAATCAATATTGGGAGTGTTCACCTGTGGACAAATGTATTGTATAGAAAGGGTTAATTCCCTAGGGCCTGGGTAATAAAACATATAGGAATAGTAACCTTTTTAGTATCAGACTGATATAATTTTATTAAATGCATAAATTTAAAATAATATTACTGTCAAGATTATATGTATCTTGTTCTATATATTCCCATGTTATCTTACACCATCTGTAGGCTAACAGTAGAACCAATAACAACTCATCTGGTGAATTGGGATTTGGTTATACATGTATTAAATAACAAGACATTAGCATACAACATGTCACCACTTGCCATTTGTTACAGAGACCAAACTCCGAACACCGACTGCAAGATGCTGAACCTCATCCACAAAAAAGTGGGCGATTATAACAATTAACAATGCCAATATGTCACTACTTGTGGTGGCGACATAAAAACAGAATTCAGATATAATTGATAATTAAATATAGATTTCATTGGTCTAAAACCAGACAGCATCTAAGCTTTGCTTAATGTTATGTTCATTATCTCTCCGATGTTTTGTTACAACAGCAGATTCTCCAGCCTTTCGTATTCTTCTCTCAAACTTCTTTTTCTGCTGTTGTTTAATCTGTCCTTTCACTTTACGTTTCACCAGATCTGGGGCCATTATTGTACTGGCAGATGTACTCAGGCTATCTGATGCTCGTGTCCTACTGGCTTTAGCCGCCTCAATGAAATGCCAGTTTTCATGTTGTAAAGTATCTTCATTTCTAAATGGTTTGTATTCAGTGTTCAATTCATGTATATTCTCTAGTTCAGGAAGCTCATCACCAGAGTCTTCAATTTCATCTTCTAAAGGCTTTGATGTCCCTGCAGCTTCAAGCTCTTTATCATTGGTCACATTAACATCTTTAGATGCATCTATTATGTTTTTTTCATTTCCAGTATCCCTTGCACTGTCATTATCAATTTTCTCTATTGCAGTATCATGTGCTAAGGTTAATGGCGTTGTATTTGCCTCTTGTGAGGGACAACCTGTGGGGGATGTCAGGGTTAATTGGGCTATATTTGCCTCAGTGTCAGACAGGCTTTCAGGAGCATTGAGTACTTCATTTTCTTCATTATCACTGTCTTCTGCACCGTCAGAATCCTCAGGGCCATTCAGTAGTCCAATTTCATCTGCCACCTGAAAAAAGTTCAATTAGAAATACCTACTCTTTTCTAGATAAACAGATAAAATCATCATCATTTTATTATTGAAGGAATCCATGACATCTATACACTAAGATGAAAAAACAATTAGGCATGTTAGTGATGCAGCTTGCCAGAAAAATGCCACTAGAGTAGAAAGTGTAAAAACGCCACTGTGATCAAGTGTCACTCACAAAATGAGGGAAGATTGAAGGAACAGTCTCATGGTTATCTTTTCAGCCTCATTGATAATTTCAGCATGTACAGCTTATTGTAAGATGACATGACAAATGGACTGTATTCCAAATTTGGCATTATCATTGGATAGCATCAAACATGAGAAATATGGAATTAATGAAAAAAAACTTTACCTCATTGAAAGATTTTTCCATTTCCTTAGTAAATCCACTTGCAGCAATTTCAACGTCTAATGTATCTTGACGTCTGAAATGCATAAATTTTCTTCTTAGGAAAACTGTCAGTACTAGATTATTTATTGATGTAAAATTCAAGGAAGAATAAGATAAAGTTTTGTTCAAAAATGATATGATTTGATGGTTAAGTAAAGCCCTGATGGCCTTAATAAAGAAAACAGCTTTTCAGGCCACTCATTTCCAGAGTGCAGCATGAGAGTCAAGTCATGTGACCCATGGTTATGGTAACCGCTATTGAACCTCTTTTTGAGACAGGCTAAAAAGCATTCTAAGTTTGAGGATGTTCAAATTGAATTGTATATTATATGGTGTTAATTGTCATTTGTACTACCTCTATAAAACACTTTCACTTACACAATATCAGAGAACTTGGGGAAGCTTTCGCTCTCGAAGTCAAACCTCCGGGTGAAGAATGTACGAATACATTGAACATCTCGGTCAAAATACCTGGAATAATAGAATATGCTGTTTATACATAGTGAAAAGTGATTATAGAACATAGAGAAACATAGATTATAGAAGATAGAACAATAATCATCAAATAGAAACATGGACATTATTTGGCCCACCCTGTAGATTCGTGAGCAATTATGAAAACACATTATGTATTAAAACACAGTTGCTCAAATTGATGGACGTACCACTCTGCATCCTTATGTGAGGTTGACACCATCTGTGGGAAGTCGTACATTGTCACCCGATCTTTCTCATCTAACATGATGTTGAACTCATTGAAGTCCCCATGTATGAGACCACAGTTTGCTAGTCTCACGAGAAGTTCCATCAAATCATTGAAAACAGAGCCTGGGTCTTTCAGTTCATGAATTTGACATCTGCAATACAGAGTATAGACTGGAGAGCTGAGACAGGGGAAGAAATCAGACGGATGTGTATCTGGCAACATTAGGGGAAGAGACTGAAAATTGATGTTAAGATATTATCATCAAAGTGTTCAATACTTAACCAATCTGGCATTAGGATTCAAATCACAACTAATTCTATAATTTATCCAGGGCATACTCTGCACTCTGCTCATAGGGATTAAGAGGTTGGGGGGAGGGTAAGTACTTACAAGGGGTGACCGCTTAGCAGCTCCATGATGATACAATGTCTATTGAAATCTACAGGCTTGGGAACTGGGAAACCTCTGTCATACAATGCCTGTAATAGAAGTGACGCTATATTGAAACATCTTTATTCATTGTACTGCATGTATGTGCTAATTGTATTCAGTATCACAGCATTAACATGAAAAATATCACCACCCGCCATTTGATGCCGACTGCTGAATGCCAATGGCCAAATACCACCTCCTGACACCAAAGGTTGTGCACAAAAAAGTTTGAGACTGTAACAATATGTCAGCACTTCTGGTGGTGACATAAAAACTGGCTGAACTAACTTTTGGAGGGTGCAAACAGCATGGTAAGTAAATTTCAGATTAATAATTAAAATAAACAATACAAAAAAGGTTTAAATTTTACCTTCATATAGGCATACTCCTTCATTGCAGACAGACGTGAGAGATACAACCAGGAGGCCTTCTGTCTGTGTTTGTGATAGTCCCTGTTGTTCTTTAGTGTTCTAAATGATGTTCTCCCCAATCTGTGTAGCTTTAGGGCAAACTGTTCTTCCTCATCATTAGCAACAATGTATATATCTGAAAGTACGATCGTAGATCCAAACATGTTCAATGATATCTTTTTATTGGTTAAAAATAAGGTTTTTCCTATACATCATACCATATGAATATCAAAGTAACTACTCTATGTATAGGGCATCTTATAATTTTGAGTGATTTCATTTTTATCTAAAAGTTGATCAAAACGAGTGGATTACCTCAATAGGCTGACAAAAATTTGAATCCAAAAATCAATTTAAAAAAATCAACTTTTATAACTTTCAAAACGTCAATGAAGTTCAAATCTCAAATCTTAGATCAGATTTGAACTCCTGAGATATTTTAGTTGATTTAAAAAATGGTCAATTTAAAACAAGTTGAAAATTCAAAATGGCCACTTCATCAAAAACTTCAAAATGGCCACCAGTTGAACAGTTTAGCTGTTTTCCTGAAATTTTGTTGACAATATTCATGTGGTGCATGCCTGCAAGCATCAGCACAAGACAACAATATAGCACTTTTTAAAGTGTGTTAAAAAGTTGAGGGTTTCCAAAATCAGACTCAAAGAGTTTTTGTAAGTGAAATTTAGCAAATAACATTGAACATTGAACTGTCCTATTATATTGCACTTACCGGACTCCTTGCCAACTCCAATCTGGTTGCCAACAGAGCCTACAATATCTCGGGCAGTCAGTGTTTTCAGAGCCAGATAGTCATAACCAGCATTTGTCAGTCGATAGCCATCCGCTGCAAGAAGAATGCATATTGTAAAGACAACATCCATAAACATTTCACCATGAAAACATTGTATAACCCTTATAACTTACAGACTTGCTTTTCATGTTATTTTCGAGCAAATTTAAAATAATATATATTTTTATGTACATTATGCAAGTTTAGACATATATAACACTATTATTTCTGGAACCAAGAGAGTGTAAAATAGTTATACTGTTACTTAAAAATTCTTCAAAAGTACAAGAATAATATACTAATAACTAGCCTGAATTGAGACAAAAATGCACAGTCAGCACTTTCTATCTCCTAATAGGTATATAGGAGATAGATAGAGCCGACTGCAAACATGTCGCATAAAATATCAGACAATTTCAGCTTCACTCATTGATCAGTATAATGAAAAAATGAGAGCATTTGCATTTATATTTATAATTTATACTAAAGTATAGAAGAATAAACACACGTGTAAATTATAAAATCAACGAACAAACATTCAATTTTCACAAATGTTCAATAATTTATTGTATTGAAACTTCCGAAGCTTACAAAGTAATCATTCATTTTCACGGTCCATATTTTACCTCTTGGATGTTTTGATAAATGCTCTATGGTTGACGCAACAAAGGTGATAGGGTTTCATTGAAATGTGTGTTCTAACTTCTAGAGGGTAAGTAAGACTCTAATCTTCAGGTAACTCTTATATTTCAATCTCTACCGAAGAAGTTAGGCCAGGAAATCAGGTGTAGCCTGCACTCATCGATCAGTATAATGTAAAAAATGAGAGCATTTGCATTTATATTTATTGAATGGTCCTCATATGTTCACCTTTTTTCCCTGATTTCTCATAAGCGACAAGTCTGTGTTTGATGAGTTCACTGATCACCTTGTGGCAGCCCCCTGACCTCAAACTAGCTATAGAAGCAATCAGAGGACCAGGCACCAGCTCATGGTTCTTCATCCCCATCTCAATCTACATAAGAAGGCAAATGTATCATTTATATAGCTAGCCTGCAGCTACAAGAATTGTTAGTAGAATCCAAACACAAATTCTCCGTACAAGTTCATATGGTGAAAATAACGAAATAATGAAATGTTACCGTGTGTCTACATAGCAGTGTGTTCTATGTCATCCCTCCTGCTAGGTTACATTGTGGAACGCAGCCAAAAATGACAATGAAGGCAACAACATGTCGATGCTGATCTTAGCAGAATTTTCGGAAATTTAGATCGTCCATTTTGAAAGCTCACGTGACTAGTTACTGTATCGATCATGTGACTTAATGACGTGTCAATGACGTGTCACCCAACCATGTCTTCAAGGAAAACGGAAGTAAATATTTTGGAAAATGGTTTCCGAGCATTTGCTACTGATTATAGAAGGCCCAATTACGCAACGAACGAAACTGCTAAATTGTATTTCGTGCCTAACAGGCCCAGTACGCAATGAAAGAAACTGCTAAATTGTATTGTTAGTCTGCTTATTGATCTATTGATTCATAAAGACCTGAAATGATGGATTCAAATAAGACCGCCTCCTAAATGAAAACACTACACATAAAGTGGTGAAAAACAACGAACTAAAGTTGAAAGATCGCAACGTTCGCTACTTTGTTCAATTCCGGAAGTCTCCAAGGGGCTGCAGAAGAAGAAATGGGAAATTTTTACGATTTAGATTTTATAACCTCAGAATACTGCCTTCAGTGTCGTGTTTGGCTGAGTTCCACAATGTAACCTTGCAGGAGGGATGACATAGAACAAACTGCTAAGTAGACACACGGTAAAATTTCAATATTTCGTTATTTTCACCATATGAACTTATACCGAGAATTTGTGTTTGGATTTTAGATCTAGATCTCCCCCCCCCCCTTCATAAGAACAAATACAAAGAATTGTATAAAAAAGTGAAACGTATTACATACTGCTGTTAAGACTCTGAAGTCCTCCTTGGTTAAGTATCTCAGCATAGTTACGTTTAGCTTCCCCATATTTCATCAGAACATGAACTTATTTGAGATTTTATAAATATTTCTAAAATTGCAACATGCGTGTCGGCCAGCTCTGTTCATTTGTTATTGTTTCGTATTAGGTTCAACTTGGATTTTCTTGTAGAAATAACAATATTGGACTAATTTGTTATAGATTGAATAATCAACACAATAAAATCCGTAATTCTTAGGTATACAATATACATTAGTATCGCTTCAATATTGTACAATGATATTTAAATATTTACGATATTGCGGCATTCTTTAAAAATGGCGACTTTTGGACATGCGATTTCAAGGTCGGCGACAATTCTTTCCCATTTGAACGTAAGCATAACTGTATTGCTTTTGATTATTATAGATTTCGATTCTGCACTTTCTTTTATAGTTCATGTGCAAATGTCAGTCCTCTAGCTATTCTATTATCATGTTTATTTCAGTTCAAAATATATTTTCGAATAATTTGAAGACTGTCCAAATGATTATGATATTGAATTTGAACTTCACTCACTTGTGCAAGCACAGAAAGAGAGAGATTCCCATCAGGTGACATATAAGAGCACCAAAGCACCACCGACAACTTTCTCCCATCATATTAGTCATACATTAGGGGTTCCACAATGCAATTTTTCGATTCGATATGAGCTCATTATGTAGAGCTCTGATCATTTGTCAGAATGTCGATTGGCGATCGAAATGTCACTTCGACATCGACATAAGTGTCCAAGGTCGACATAGAACGACACAGAAATAATACGATGATAAACAAAGAACATACCTTATTTCCCAACATACTTTTATCACTTCTGTTGAGATAATGGTTGCGTTATCTTACAAAATTTACAGCGAATTTAAATATTGTGTTTTTCCCCCATTTTATTTTTATATTCTCGTTTTACATCTCGTCTCGTTTTCGATCTCGAGAAGTCGTCTGTAGGGGCCTCTGATTGGAACGGTAAGTCATTTCACAAAATGATGCCGTTTCTCTGGAATGTTGCGTGACCAAAAGATGTCTATACTTCAGACTTACGTTTTTGGTTACCTCTTTCAAAGGCTTACTGATCTAATAGAACAACCTTTGCTTTCCCCCTTATCACCCTCTACAGAATCCTGACAGCTAAATTGAATACTGAAATCCAAATGTTTGCATAAGTTTATAAGTTATCAGCTGTTTCTGTGCCAAACAAGACTTCTCTTTATCATGTATATATCTTCTACCAAGAAACCAAAATGGCGGTTTTGATTGATTCAAAATTAGGTGCCTGATAATACATTATATGTGTCTACAATACTGACCAGGATATATACTGACCAGGTATCATTTAAACTAAAAAATACAGCATGATGTTGAGCAGCTTTTAGTTAATTGATGAAATATATTTTCAGCAATATAGAAGCTTGTCCGGAGTATCACGGCAGATTTTGAGATGCACATGCAGTATAAATAACCAGAGCAACAACATACCTGATACAGCATACAGACTCCAACATGTAAGTAGATGTTCAAGTATAGTTACACAAATGAAAACACCCCTCCACATCTCACACTGACAGTTTACTTACACCCAGGTTCTTTGGGTTCAGAAAAACCAGGGAATATAATTGTAAGCATTGGCAGGTATTTGTATGCAAATGACACAATAATACTACTTTTACTATTTACACTAGCTGACATGTTGAACATTCAGATATACTTGATTCCTACTTTATCTATTTGCTTGCAAGAGCAACTGCTCTCTATAACCTCTTGAACCCCAGGCTCTAAAATCGGTTGGAACTAGAGAATTTTTCATTTTTGCCATCTTTTGACATTTTACTACATAACTATACAACTTGAGATGCTCATTTTAGTAAAATAAGTAGGCCTAGATCATTTCTCCATATTTTAAAACATGTGTAAATTGGATGAAAATTGTTCAAATAAGAGCAATTTTAGTGAAAATTTTCTTGTCACTCTAGGTTTCAAGGTCATTTCTGAGGTGACGAGAAATCTTGTCACTCCAGGTAGTCAAGAGGTTAAGCGATAGTAGAAGCTGTTGGTACCATGGTCCATGATGACTTAATTTGAAATTTATTTTTTTCATTACAGGGTAGATATTATTCCCAGGGCCCAAATAAGGGATTCATCTCAGGATTGGTAGACAACATACGACAAGAATGGAACAAGAACAAAGAAATGAAGGTACACATCAACAGGCAGATAATTTACCTTATGCGAATGGCCGGATCATTAAAATTGAACCTTTACAGCTTCAAAATATTTTTTGTATCCCATCAAACTTTTTTAACCATTAGCATTATTCTGTTCTGGACACATCCAAAAATTGTTCAAAGAATTATGTTATGCCAGGTCCAAAATTTTTTAAAAATCTTGTGAGTTGTCCCCTTATCTGTGACACATTTTCATGAGTCTTGTTGTTAGCATTGAGGTCAATTGGATAATTGCAGACTAGAAAGAGTTAACATTTGAGCATTCCTGCTTTAGGGGTTAATTAGGGGTATGTTCTACATGTAGTCATGTACATGTATTCATAGATATTTCAATTGTTTGCATATTGTAGTTTCATTGAGGCTATGTGTATATTTTTGAATTTGATGAATGTTGTAGATAGGCTTGTAATTACCAGTTATGTCCATCTTTGTTGTAGGATAGTTTAAAGAAGTTTAAAGAAGAAGCAGAAAAACTAGAAAAATCAGATGCCCTGAAAAAAGTTCGAGAAAGATATGTAAGTACATGTACATGAACACAGTTTATGAAAATGATTCACATACCAAACTTTTTTTGGATGTCAGTTGCCATTCTGCAGTTGTCATCTGTAAAAGAGGCAGGTTTTGCACGTTAATGCCTTGTTCACATTTGCCTTGTGCAACTATAGTGTGAAAAATGGTAAATTGATGTCCTAAATGTATTATAGATGGTGGTCAATCATCATCAGTTTTGGAAGAATGAAGTTAATTTTGTAACAGAGAAAGAGATAAATTATGATTTTATTAGTGAATGTTAATTTTTTGAAAAAGTCGAGTGAAACCAAATAAGCAATTTCAAAATTTCACATATGGTTGGAAGGAAGGTGTTTAGCTGAAATGAAATTGACTTAAATTTTCTTCAATTGTACACATTTGAACACCATCTCTTAACCCTTAAGGGACCAAATACGACTTTCTACGACTTCTGAATCTCCCGCCTCTAACCTTGTGTTCCCAGGACCACACCCCCTATACATTCAGATTTTGTTTTTTGTTCATTGTAGTTTGTGCATGCGTAGTAAAATGAAATCGAAATTTTGACTTTGTTTATCGTTTTTAGAAGTGTTTTGAAGTATTTTATGCTGATATTCAGAATTAAGTCGGTCTCTTAATGTTAATGAATACACATTGGTCATAGTTTTTGAAATAGATTGAAGGAATTTCATTTAAATCTGATTGCACTATTTTCAATATGATGGTTTCATAACAGTTATGTTGCATATTGAACAGAAGAAATATTCATAATCTTCTCTGAAAGAATAATTAGCTTTTGATGGTAGAACTTTTTCCTGAAATCCTACGTGAGGCAAGATTTAATAACTGAAAAAGTTATTTTAAACCTATGCTGTTGAAGAATGTATGCAGAAGATACCACGTAAAGATTCAATATTTTGGATGTATTATTGCAGGAGAATATGGAGTCTGAGACAGCACAGGGAGCAGATGCCCTCTCAAGGAAACTAGGGGCATTTAAAGGAAAACTGAAAGAGGTATGTACCTATTGCATTTACTCGTGTTAGATAATAGCTAGATGGATAAACATACAATTACAAGAACCATGACTGACAAAAGCAACAAAAGACTGATGTAATTTCATGATCGTATCTACAGATCATGGCTGTCTTAAACTCAAATTAAAATTAAAAGTAACACATATACTTTTGAGGGAAGTAGAATAAGGATTAAAATGTTTCTGATTTAGTCTTTGCAAGTAATTATCTGATGTATGAGTGGCTGACACTGGAAAACAGTTACAAGCGCGGGAAATGCTAAATGATCTAAAATGTGTTTTGATTGGATGTTTTTGATTTACTATTTTGTGGTTTTAAGTGCTCACTGACAATATTGACATTCTTCAGGGCCTAGATGAAGTCCAGAAAACAGATTATGCCAAGAAAGCTAGTCAGATAGCGGAAGAGGTGGGAAAGACTGCAGGAAAGGCAACAGAATCCTTAGGAAAAACCAGCGAACAAATTACACAAAGTGATACATTTAGGTCAATAAAAAAGGTAAGAATTACATGTACTATTAACTACATTTTGTTAAACAAATTCTGCCACAGAGTAGTTAGAATATTGGTTTGAAATCTGATAAGCCGAATCAGATTGTGATTTGAGACTCCGTAATTTAAACTAATTATCACTGGTTGGAATGAAGAAGTTGTCCTGTAATAGAACATTGGAAATCATGAACCAAACAAGTTTATGACATTCCATTCTGGCTATTGACTCAATGCCAAATGTGTTTTAGCTGATTCAATGATACAAAATTTTGATATAAGGTAAACAGTGTGTATTGATCCACTACAATGTAGAAAGAAAACACTATGATTAATTTCTGAACCAATAAATCAGTCAATATTTTATTTCTTGTCATCTCCAATTTAAAATATCAATTTGAATATTTTAGGGTGCCAAAGCTGTAAAGAAGGAGCTTGATGATTCAACCATAGCATCTAGGGCAAGGCCATACAAATCACCTGAAAAGTTACTGAAGAGAGAAGATTTGGCAATATTCACACCTAAAAATGAAAAACCAATGGAGGCAGATGAGTAAGTTTTCGGGATAAGATCAGTATGTCAATACACCCTAGAAAAATAGTTTGTTGGGACATGTACCGAAGGGGGTTAAAGTCCATTACGATTTGTTTGCATTCATTGATAGAAAAATCTATAAATGCCGTCAGAATTATACAGTAATATCAATTTGAGAAGTTAATTCTGTACATATGTGCAATAAATTGTCAATACACCCCACAAAAATATGATTTGGTAGCATTCATTGATTGAAAAATCTATAAATTCTGTCAGAATTATACAATGATATCAATTTGAGGAGTAAATTCTGTACATATGTATATAAGTGCACTGTATACTTTATACACAGTATACTCCACTGACTTCTGCATACAGTCACCTTTAAAGTGAACACCTACCTACAGTGAACACATTTTTGTAGCTCCATAGTTCTACATTGTATCTTGAATCTTGTTTCAGAGAGTCCACTGGCATGGTCATGCATAAAGATTCCAAGTTCTACCAAAGCTGGCAAAATTTTAAGGATAATAACCAATATGTAACAAGTGAGTTCTATGCTATTTTACAATACATCGTGTTATATATACAGGGTGAGCCAAAAATGCAACCATCTAATTTTAAAGTGACTTTAATGGAATACATGATTTCTCTAAGTTGTAGATGCGCTATAAGTACAGCATTACTGCTACTTGATTCAGTGCTATTTATGCAAGAAAATTCCACAACAATTGAGAAACAATTCCAACTTAGAGGGTTACATATTTGAGCTCACTCTGTATTGTCCAAAATGTATTATATTGTTCAGATTGTGTACTGTTAAAGAATGTGTGTCGTGTAGGACTAGATCTAGAGACCTGACTCGTTGTCTTAGATTATATTCCCATATAAGCTAAAAAGATCCAGATTAAAATAACTTAAACTTCAAGCCTCTTGGTTGCACCCTGGCTCTGTGTGATGACTCCAGGATATCATGGCGTGGTATCCAATCTGCGTGCGTATGCACGCAGTTTGAAACACTGACAAACTGCATGCATATTTAAACATGGCAGATGGGGAGAACACGACTTCCAAAAGGATGAAAAGTACTGGAAATACAAGATTAGTTTTGTTTATCAGAAAGTACCGTTGTGTGAAGTAACTTACTTACAAGTAGCACTCAGGTTCTTTCCTGGTGTTAACCTAGTTATCTCAATATAAGCTTTCGTGTTCAAAATATACAGTGTTGCATCATATGATGTCTGTTTGTCTTATGATCATCTGATTTAATACGAAATATTTTGTATTGTACGTGAGAACTGGGTTGATATTTACCTATGAAACAAAACCCAGGTATTTTCTATTTCTGTGAAAAGTGTGATGTCAACGTAAGTGTCAGTAATCGAATAACTGATGGAATTTGTATTAATCTGCTTATATTTAAAACCTACGTTCATCTAGACATAGTTTTTGCTATCACATGGTAAAATCATATAATCGCCAGCCAATGAACATATGAAACTATAAATCAATGGAGAATAAATGTCTTAAAATGATGTTTCAAAATACAGACTCTAACTTGCATGATGCAATGTTGATATGCGCGCATATTATGCACACAGTTTGGATACCGCGCCATGGATATATTTGACAAAAGAATGCAAGCCAATTCCATCAGGCCTACTTTAATTGTGTAAGTTGACCAATTATCCAAGTGTTTATAAAACGTTTTGGAGGTGTAAAACTCAATTTTTTCTTTGCAGAAATGTTTGACTTAAAATCGAAATATGACGAAAGTGACCATATAGCAATCAGAGCTACTAGAACCTTCACAGATAAAATGTCTGAATTATTTGGTGAGTCAAACAATCAAAATAGTTCTTGTTAAAATATTATTAGAACTCTTTCAGTAATGTGTATTAAGATGTTAGTCATCATATAACAATGTAAAAGACAAAAATAAATAGTTTACAAAGGGCTGACATGGAAAACTCACATACTCAGCATTGCTTGAACTTGTGTCTATTTAATGTAAGATTGTAAGCCCAATAACAACAGTGCTCATTTTCTTGTAGGTGGAATGTTCCAGAAAACAGAGATGTCAGAAGTATTAACTGAGATATGTAAAATGGACCCCACATTTGATAAAGAATTGTTCATCAAAACTTGTCAACTTGAAATTATTCCAAACGTATTAGAGGTAAGTGATGTAAAGACAATAATGAGGCTAAAAACTCTAGAATTCATCTTTGCATTAGGTCTTAAATTCTAGAAAAATGGACTGAGTCTTTCACAAAAAAGTCAAAGGTAATCTTCTTCATTATTCAATTCTGTTATACATTTTTCGCCCTCTACCCCTATGATTCCAAAGACTGTACAACTAGACATGTTCTTACTGTATTTTGTGCATTTTTTCAGGCGCTAGTAAGAGGGGATCTCGACATATTAAAAGACTGGTGCCATGAAGCAGTAAGTGTTTAGTTTTTTTTACAGGAAATCATTAGCAAAATTAGAAAATAATGTAGAAATCTATGTTTGCTTCAACAGTTGCACAGTGTATATATTAAGGGTCTAACGGTGCACCGAAACCGCAGTGCTCCGCGGTTCTTGGGCCTCGGTTGGTACGTTCGGTTCGAAAACTCCGATGTTCGGTTTTTTAACGGTTCGTTAATTCAGAAAAAAGTGCCGTTCGCTAAAGTAGAGGAAGATGAATCTCGAAACGAGAGGTGAAGATTTCGGCATTCTAAACGCTCAAAAGTCATACAAGGACCACTGTTGGGGTTATTTTGGATTTCCAACGAGAGATGGTGTTCCTCTCCCGGAAAGAACGATATGCCGACTTTGCAAAATCGTTATGGTATATGAGAAAGGTACGTGTGAAAAAATGTGAAAATTTGCTGTCTGCAGAAATAGAATAGATCAGAATTATACATGCTCCCGGGTCGCTTATTTATTATGAAATCGCGCCATCTATTTATCGTCGCATAAATAAAATACAATGCAAAGTTAATGATTAATTTGTAAATAAAACTGACTTAGATCAGAGGTAAACATGTTCCCGGGCTGCTCATTTAAATAATGAAATTGCGCCATCTTTTTGAGTTATTTGATTTTTTACATTAAAGTGCGATAAGAACCGAAAACCGAACCGAAACCGAGGAGATAAAAACCGTGAACCGAACGGAACCGAGGAATTATGAAACCGTGAGAGCCCTAGTATATATCTATTCTATGTTTGCTAATGTATATGTCTGTTCAATGTGTAGTTAATCAGCAAAATTACCAATCGTGCACAATGACCTCAATAAAAGTGCCTATAATATTAAGTGAAGCGTAACTTAAATTGATTCTCTTGTCCAATAAAAATGTTGTTAATTTCAGGCCTTCAGTATACTATCTCATCCTGTAAACCTATTTTCAGGCCTTCAATGTACTGTCTCACCCTGTAAATCTACTTATTATTTTCAGCCCTTCATTGTACTATCTCACCCTGTAAATCAACCTATTTTCAGGCCTTCAATGTGCTGTCCCACCCAATAAAACAAGCTCATACAGCAGGTTATAGAATACAATCCAAAGTTTTAGATGTCAATAATGTAGATGTAAGTACTTAGTAGTGTATATATTGTTGTTTACTAGTATAGTCATATCCAAGTTGTTTCAAGCCTAAGTGAGTTTTAATTCCTTTAAAAACCTATAAAAATGGGGAGCTTTAAAATATTCTAAGGTATCATATTTCAACTTTGACACAATAATTGATGTTAAGCAAGTTATGGGTAATTTAAATTCCAAAGTTTCTGCACCCTCATTCACGCTGTCAAACTCGCCTGGTCCATTATAGGTAGATGCATATCATATCAAGGTTGTTATTGCCTTTTCAAAAATGTTGACATTTTTTGGCTTAACTTGTGTATATGTGCAGTAATACAGTATACTGGGACTGACCAAAACTCTTCCTTGTAGACAGGTATTCCTTACAGAGTGTTTACTTGAAATCAATGGAAGAATATTTGGTTCTTGTTGAAAACTTCCTTGTAAACAGATGTTCCTTACAGAAAAATGTTCCATAGGACAGGTTTTACTGTACATGTTTTTAAAACTTAGTGTCATAATTATGTATCCGTTTTTTTTGACGGCGGTTTGGGACTGGCAGTTGGCGATTGGTGTCAGGTTTACTGTATATGTTTTTAAAACTGAGTCTCATAATTTCAGATTGTAGCAGGTAAGATGATGGAGCAAGGCCCTGTGTTAATTATCACATTCAACGCTCAACAGATACAAGCAGTAGTCAACTCCCAGAATGCAGTAGTGGAAGGAGACTCTGTAAGTATATAACATGTTGGACTCTAGAATGTTTTCCACTGAGAACCCTGTTTTTATAACCAATCATGATTTAGGATAAAAGAACTTATCACAGACTCCTTTAGTATTCAGGCTGAGAAGATATATTTTGGAAAGATCTCCAAGGTTCAAATTGTCTCCCCCTAGGGCATCCTTGATGGTTTGAGTCCTTTATACAGTATCTGCATCTTTTATATACATGTACATATCTGTTATTACAATTTTATATCATGTAAAATTTGTAAAGATGTTTCAATTTAGTGAATAGAGTTTATTAAAAAAAATCTGCATCTTAATAATACATGAAAATATTCATTAGTAAAAAGGTCAATGCTTTACATAGACAGATTTTCAAAAAATTTCATAATTTTAGAATCTTGTTTCCTGGAATCATCATATGCCTATTTTTAAAAAATTCACAAAACTTGTAACTCTATTTCTATGTTTATTATTTTCAGGAAAAGATAATGCGTATTCTGTATGTCTGGGCGTTGTGTCGAGATCAGACTATATTGGACCCGAAAGCAGCGTGGAGATTAATAGACATTTCAGCAAGTTCCTCAGAACAATGGTTATGATGTATATTTTCCATTAGCCAATTTATATTATCATTTATTCCCATCATTTGTCTTAATGGGGCAAAACAAATTCATAAGTATCAAGTTAGGTTTAAATGAGATTACTTATAGATATTCATTTCATCTCTAATATAGATTCATAATGGCTTGGTATCATACCTAAAAAGGTATGACATTGTCATCACTTTGTCGCAGTCATCTGCAACATCATCAATAGACTTGTACACATGTGGCGACATATTGTTGTTATTGTTTCTAACTTTTTTGTGACGGCAATTGGCGTTTGAAGCTCCGTGCCTGTAACAAATGGCAAGTGGTGATGCATGTTGCATGTTAAAAAAACTTGACCTACTAAGCAGCATAACAAATTCCAAATTAAATTCTTCTACTTTTGGCTTCAAAAGGCAAGATTTGGTCATTAAAAAGGCTTGTATCAAAGTCTATCGATGCACCAAATTTCATATCATATTGGACTATTTTGGGATAATTTGAAATCAAAATTACAGATACTGGTTCATCAAATTGAAAAATATGGTGAAAATTCAATTTATTGATAGAATATCTGATTATTGTTGAACATAACCTAGGACAATTTGTTCGCCAAAACTTGATTGCAATAAATTTTAGTGAGAATTGTTATGACAGTTATTATGTTGCATACATGTAGTATGTAAAGTGTACACATAAGTGCACATGTATCAAATGTGCTGTGCACATGTATGTAATGTACATGTGTATTGATCAAAGTTTAATGTACATGTACTTGTATCTACATGTTCTCATGTAATTCAGAAGCGTATATTTCCATTGTTTAACATGTACACATACATGTATTTATCTGCTGTCTTCCCACAATGAAATAATGATACAGTGTAAATAGTATTTGTTGCCTAAATTATTGCTTGCTGAAGTAATAAATGTATAAAGTATTTAATAAATAAATAAAATGATTTGTGTTTCTTAAAAGAATGCCTCACACAACCTTCTTGTCCGGGAGTAATTCGCTAAAATGAAAAAGATATGAGGAACTTTGCGGCAGGGTTGCCGTTTTTTACCACCCTGTATATTGGCTCAATTGATGATGTCATTGGTTGTACCTTTTCAAAAATAGCAATAAGTTAATCCTATTTTTGCTTGGACACATTGCTACCTACAACCAATGACATCATCAATCTCGCCAATATATCATAGTTTCTCTGATGTATCAAAAGCGGGCAGGGTTTATTGGAAAGGTCTGTTATTCCACCAAGGAGGATTGGCTCCCAGTGACGCAACTCAATATTTTCCAACAGTGAATGTTGCTATTTTCTGACATTATAACTGACTATAAATTCATAATCAATAGTCCAAAAGATTTGAATCAATATCTCGATCACTTGTGTGTTTTGGAATTTTTTGTTTAGAAATAAGACCAAAACACACGATTCAAATTCTGAAATGAACAAAATGATGGCTGTTTGAATTTTCTCAAGTACTGGTGCGTTCAAAGGAAGATACCTTAACAAATAGGATCTCTGCTCGAGAAGGAATTTTCAAAAGGGCCCTTGTTTTCACTAAACATTTGACAAATATCATTATACTTTGATCATGCTCAACCAAATTAGTCCATATTTAGAAAGATTATGCTTTGTATGTAACATCTCTACTGAACTAATAACTTAAACCGTTGCATGCATTGCAGAGGCAGTGGCTTGGTAACAAGTTGAGACCAAAAATGAATGCAGTTCATGGAAATGTTACAAATACATAAGAAAAAAATTGTTTGAGATATTTGTCTACTTATTATTGTAAGTTACTTTGAACTCTTAGAGACAGCAACTAGTTAATAATGTTCATCATTACCTCCATGTGGGCTCTTTAGGTTAAACATTTTATAGTTTAAATTACAGAATGAATTGTATGAGTATATTAATTTCAATTAAAAGTAACACATGTTCTAAGGTTTTTCTTAATGGCTACATGATTAAACTCATAAATATATTTTATTATATGTGGATGTGGTATACAATGTAATGCTATATATAAATTGGTTTATTCCTTTCAAGTGATCTCATATAAAATAAAAATGCAATAGGTGAGAATTAAGACTTGGATATAAAGGTTACTGATGTCATTCACAATGTATCTGAGAATTAAGACATGGATATAGAGGTAACTGATGTCATTCACAATATATCTGAGAATTAAGACATGGATATAGAGGTAACTGATGTCGTTCACAATGTATCTGAGAATTAAGACATGGATATAGAGGTAACTGATGTCATTCACAATATATCTGAGAATTAAGACATGGATATAGAGGTAACTGATGTCGTTCACAATGTATCTAAGAATTAAGACTTGGATATAGAGGTAACTGATGTCATTCACAATATATCTGAGAATTAAGACATGGATATAGAGGTAACTGATGTCGTTCACAATGTATCTGAGAATTAAGACATGGATATAGAGGTAACTGATGTCATTCACAATATATCTGAGAATTAAGACGTGGATATAGAGGTAACTGATGTCATTCACAATGTATCTGAGAATAAGGCATGGATATAGAGGAAACTGATGTCACACATGATTTAATTGAGAATTAAGACATGGATATAGAGGTAATTGATGTCACGCATAATGTAACTGAGAATTCAGACATGGATATAAAGGTAACAATGTATCTGAAAGGTAACTGATGTCATTCACGATGTAATTGAGAATTAAGACATGGATATAGAGGTAACTGATGTCATTCACAATATACATGTGTATCTAAGAATTAAGACATTGGTATAAAGGTAACTGATGCCATGCACAATGTATCTGAGAATTAAGACATGGATATAGAAATAATTGATGTCACGCATAATGTAACTGAGAATTCAGACATGGATATAAAGGTAACAATGTATCTGAAAGGTAACTGATGTCATTCACGATGTAACTGAGAATTAAGACATGGATATAAAGGCAACTGATGTTGCTCACAATGTAACTGACTATACTACTTACACTGAGATAGATTGGAAAGCAGGATTTAATTCATTCAAAATAGGAATGAATAAACTATGGCCCATCATGCAGGTGTATGCTTATGCTATACTTGGCTTGACAATATTCCTGGGGAATGGTATTTTTATTGTGGCTATCGCAAAGTTTAAGAGACTTAAAACTGTGACCAATAGACTAATCTTGAGTATTCTAATCTGTAATGTCATGACCAGTGGATTTCTTATGTACTATGCATACATGTGCAAGCTCAATTCCAGATTATTCAAGAAAGATCAGCTCGCATGCCTTGCTAAATGTGCCGTCATTGTACTGGTCAGTGTTAAAACAATGATGACATTACTGGTGATTCTTGCTGAACGTTACATAGCCCTCAAGGAGCAAGGTGTTTATCGATCCACTTGTAGGATTCAAGGCTGCATCGTCTGTATTATTATCTTCCTCTGGATCTATGCCCTCATAGCAGCTGCACTACCCTTTCTCCTTAATAGATGGGCCATGGTTCGCCTCTGTGTTATAAGCATCCTATTGGACAGGATCTATTTGATTGCTTTGTTGGGTCACTTTGGTGGCTTTACTGTTATCTCCATCTACTTGTACCTCTATCTTCTTTTTGGTGTCAAACCAAAAGTAAACAATCGAAAATCACTGCAAACTAGCAAAAAGAAGCAAAAACTTGAGCGTAGAAAAGTGTTGATTAGTTTTCAGTATCTTAATGCTGCAGCTTTAGTGACCTTGACCTTCATCTTCTGTTGGGCACCATTCTATGTGATACTGCTGCTCCAGGTCCTCGATGTCAAGTGGTCTATCATGAATGAGATGCAAAATATTGCCCTGATGGTAGGGTTCATCAGTGGTGCTCTCACACCTCTAATACTCATCTTCCAGATCTCCCACTTCAAACAGAGTCTCCGTAAGATCATCTGCTGTTGTTGACATACACTTGACCAAGGAGATTTACAAGAAAAATATGAAGAGAAAAATAGCATGTTATACACACTAAAAGGAAAAATAAATAGTACCGTGGGTACGAGGCTCACATGGGAAGAAATCAAAATAGCAACCATTTTGAAATGAGGGGAGCTTTTGAGTTGCCACTTATGGGAGAATCAAAGACATCATAGAGATCCATTTTTGTTAAATTGTCATGGAAGATTACAAATGTGGCATCAATTTGTTAACAGAGGGACAGAAGGATGGACTGATGGATAGACAGATGGACAGAGAGGGTCTAAATACAATACTACAATTATAAATACAATGATAACATTAATGGATAATGGCCCTGAGTGCAGTTCTGATTTTGCTATAAGAACACCTAACATTAATGAAGTAAAAACCACAATGAAAATAAAAGATGAATAAAACAATTACAAACACACATTTTTAGTACATTTTACTTTAACATAATGCAATTTTACTGGCCCAATCTTTATGGGTTTAGGACCCTTGTAAGTATAACTCTAGACTAGTATACTGTATAACACTTTAAATTTACATTAGTAATTTACATTTAGTAACACATATTTCCAATCCAAACAGCATCAAATGCAATAATAGAATAAATGAATTAAATTGCACATTGTGGAAACTCATGTCTTCAGGTTCCTCAACAATAAATGACTTTCCAATGCTTAATGGATTTGATATCTTATTATGAAAGTGAGCTCAACACATGTTGAGAGGTGATATGGAAAAATGAGCCAAAGTAATTTTAATTTGGCTTTCTGTGGCTCTATTACTAGGTGACATATGGCCAGCTACAACATAGTATGGGAAAATAACCCAGATGTCAGTAGGTAGTTATCAGTTTCACCACCAGGTGGCTAATTCAGATCAGATAACATGGCAAATATTGTAGAAAGTTCCCTAAACTTGATTATTCATCAGTTTTAGTGGATCAATTTTCATATTACCTTTCGTATATTGTCCTCATTTAGATTGCAATATGATGAAACTTGAATGTGTCATGAATTAACCTTTCCAAAAATCATGCCACCTTTTGAAAATGATGACACTGGGCTTAATTGAAATGGAAATGTATGGAACTTCCTTAAAAAGCAATCTGCATTGTTTTTTAACAACAGAAGCTAGATTTGTGTATCTGTACTGCATTGTATTTCATAAGCAATATTTATACAAATAATATAAATAATTCAAGTGTCTTGATCCTCATTCTCAATGTCCTCTTCACTATCCTCAAAATCCTCAATTTTATCTTCAGAATCATCTGTAAGATCTAAGTCTTTTATTTTAGCTATTGCCTCCCCCGTCAGCTTGCCTTGTGCTTGTAATCTCAGATATGTCCCTGGAAAATAAATAAACACTCAGATGTGATTTTGAAAATATATTTTCTATTCATTTACATGCAAGACTTAAACTCTTTTCATAAAAAACAAGTCTAGGAATCTCTTTGGGAAGAGAAATAAAAATTTTCAAGTGAGGAAATGAAGAGAATGCATCAATTTTATAGTGTAATACTAGGTTTTTACATTTTCAAAACTACAGTCTATCACAAAATAAAAAAAGTTTTATTGATTGTATCATATTGTGGGATGAACTATCTTCCTTGTATCGAATACTTGAAATGGAATAAACGCGTCTGCTTGTCTATCTGTAAGCCAAGAGGCAAATGTCACGCATCTAAAGATTTGCAATCCTCTAAATACTCACGTCTTTTACGCTCTGGAAGCATCCTTAGTTCTGCTTGAAATTCCTCATCGAGTGCTTGTTGCTCAGATGTTGATGGACCTCCCCTAGTAAAAATACATACAAACGTTATATATATAATCCGGTAAAAATGATTTGAGCAGAGTTAGAAGATTAGATCTGTCAGCTCCCTTAAAAGATCTGACAGGCAACTTGAGAATATTAAAAATTAGGACCTAGTTAATTTCATTTGCCATACACTATCATGGTATTATCATAATTTTAATTTTGTGTAGTATGCTTAGTTAAACCAGTATCCCAAACAACCTTCTGATGCAAATACTGCAAATTACACTGTGCATTCTTATATCTGAAATATGTTTTATCAACTCACTGCTCTATGTTTCCTGTCTTCTCTCCACATTTAGCACAGACACTATCTTTCCTTGCACAACTGTCACAGATGATGTGGTATGCCCTCTTCACTGTCTTTTGTATGAGGCATTTGGTGCTAAAATAAATAAATATGAATAAATATAATTTCAAGTTCCACACAGTAATATAATACAAGGAATTACATGCAAAATATCACCACCTGCCATTTGTTACAGATGCCACACTGATTGCCAAACACCAAACACCATCTACAAAAAAGTTGGAGACTATAACAATATGATCACTACTTCTGGTGGGGATAAAAATTGGTAGTTCATGAACATGTCAAGGCATGAGACAGGCAAAGTAACTGCCTCATTAAAATTCTGAAAAAATTAATTCAGTAATTTTCTAATTGAAACTTTGAATATGAAGCCATTATGATAAAGTTATTTCGCTTTAAATCTTTGCTTTTCAACGTAAAATTTGCCTCGCCAAATTTTGGATCCTTGCTATGCCACTTGGGAGTCATGCTTTGTTCAGTGAATGAGCTTCGCACACACACATATCTGATTATCCAATATAATCATGGGAGGGTTATTTAAAATTATTATTAGAACAGTGAGCACTTTCAATCTTCATTATTCAGTTATTAGACTGAAAATGCGGTTACTCTTTTGACTTCCGGTTCGGACTCCCGTTTTTGTTTGGTCATAATCACGGAGTTGGTGTACATTTCACCTTATTTTTTAACTTCAGTTGAGTCTCAATACTCTAAGCATTATTTTAATACTTAAAACATGGTCAGAATCACTGGCAAATCGTAGATATTGAGCTTGAAGCACAAATTTGTTACTTTTTTGGGCAAAAACTCCGCTCATGGCCATGATATCATCACTATTGATAGATCGCCAAGAAATGTGAAAAAGGGTTTTTTTCTGACAAGTTACAAAAATATGAAAGTTGAATAAACATACAATATCTTTTTGCACTGATCAAAGGTTTTTCTGACTCAAAATTTGGGCCCACTGCCCCCCTTGTTGATTCCTGGATCCGCCACTGAAACGAGTCACAATACTGATTTGCATGCAGTGTACAAGTACAACATCAGCTTACATGGGCGTAGCGCCCGGTACGCTGGGTACGCACAGGCGTACCAGATGGTTGCAAATTCGCTCCAAATACAACCAAATTTCAAAATTGTCATGGGGGAGAACCCCCAGACCCCCTGAATGCTCGTTTTTTGATTCTTGTTCCTGTGGTGGTGGCGTACCACTTAGAAAAATAGCGCTACACCCATGGCTTACGACATTCTCAGGAAACTAAATTGCAATGTCTGTCACCTAAATAGCCCTTTAATCCCCCCCCCCAATGTAACTAATTGTTTTTTTTGACGAACATCAAAAATATTGACCCAGCTTCTAAACTACAGTTTTGAATATTTTGAAAAAGACAAAACATCCCGACATTCATGGGGGTAGATTCTTACCACTTCTTTGCAGTTGTCAAGGCCTTGTATTTTTTGAATTTTATCTTCCATTCAATTACTTCTGCACATCTTGGACATAATTCTGTCATTTTCATATTGTTTAAGGCTGCTAACTGTTTGCTTTTAGAATGCATGTCGTTTCTGTAGGCAGATTTATTTTGATGTTTTGGAGGTCCAGATTTTTTACTGTTTCCTCTGGCTGTACTCATTTTGACAACTTCTAATGGACTATATGGAATTAAACTATAGTGAGATATTAATCAAACTTGTTTCGTATGCACATAAGTCTTTTAAATGCTTAGAAAATGAGAAAGTACTAAAAACATTAAATTTTTACAATTTCTTAAGAATCTCGCTAATGAAATTATAATTTTATTAACGAGATCTTATTAAGAGTTCATATCGCATAATAACCCTTATTATCGGATTCCAGCTGTTAGTAGTATTAATTTGAATAAATTAAAACTGAGTAGTACAGCTGAGTGGACATGCATATGCACCGATAACTAGGTCTATTGCTTAGATGCCAACTTAATAATCTGAAGCCATTGAAAAACTCACCTTACTATGAGTAAACTTCAGTGAATTCTTTGACAAAGAAAACAACTACATCCACTGCTTGTGAGATGTCCAATTTATCCCTAAATCTTTGTGGGATGCAAAGTTAAAATAAAGTCCTTGTGTAGTATAGGATATAAACCTATCACTGTTTGTGAGATTTAAACTTTAAACATTTTCATTACAACTTTGAGAGTGTAAAAATGCAGATACATTATATTTGACTTGATGAAGATTGTTGAATGTTAATTCTATCCTTCATACATGTAACTCAGTTGTCTGTGGTTATGTTCTGAAATAACACAAAACTGTGTTTTAGTGACAATTAACGACTGGGTGGGCGAGGAGGGAATATATGAACTCTTAATAAGATCTCGTTAATAAAATTATAATTTCATTAGCGAGATTCTTAAGAAATTGTAAAATTTCTATTACACTCATCTTATTAAGAGTTCATATCGCATGTTTAAAGTAAAATAACCTCAGAACAACTGATCTAAATCCTTTAATTTCCTTTATCAGTTTGTAAAATTGAGCATTCAGTTAATTTGCATTTCCCATGACTTGGTTTGTAGGTATGTCCAATGTTCAAGTTTATGGTACAGTTACTGCATACCTGGTAAATATGTCTTTCAAATGTACTTAAATGTATTTATAAATATCTATCTATTATTATTATTCTATAAAATTAAAACCTTTATGTATTGTTATAGAAACTGCTAATGTGTATGTACATGAGATGTTTTACTGGATATGTACACGCATGGCATTTGACAAGGATAATTTAAACTTCCTTCTTATGATTCCCTTCTACTACTAGTAGTTTGTTTCAGATGTTTTTGGTATTTTCTAAATGCTAGTACAACATCATTATAAATGGATTCTCATGAAAAAACAACAACTTAATTGGAACCCCAATTTTATGTGTTGACATTCTGTCTTTGACAACCATCCAATGGCATATTATTTCAGAGACCCTGGGATACATGCTTGAAATAGACATTACATGACTTATTGTGTACTTTCAGTTGAGATTTCTAATCTGACCCGAATGTTCAATGTGAGATACAGTACAACCTTATTCACATCCCAAGTTTCATTTATTTTTTCAGTGGGTTTCCATTGTAAAAGTTTCCATAAAGTCAACAAGAACATGGTATTGACTTACCTATGACTATCTATGGTTCCATTATATGCTGATTTTGCAGACTTTAAATATCGAGAAACGAATAGCACATTACCTGATTTGACATTTCAGTTAGGAAATTGGCTAAATTTGTATCAGAGGCTAAATAATAATGTCATGTTTATTAGAACTTGCAGCATACCCATGTTTTCCAGGGGTTCTTGGAAGTAATTTTTAGTACTTTCTTTACTTGATTTAATGAGCATACATTGCCAGTTTGTCGCAGAAACCTCTAGTTTCAAACTTGAGGATGATAATTTGGACACTGTTAGTGTTATCTAGCTTTTTTTATTAAGGCTGTAAGATTAGATATGAGTAATTTCATATGGTTTGGCAATAAGATGGGCATACAGATCAACATTTCCAACAATTATAGATACCGCAGAGCCATTTGCCACATTGGGTCTATGAGAGCTATCTGTGTATTTTTTCTGTCTAACTTTAACCAATCGGCTGATTTAAGAAATTGGAGGAAAGTTATTTGACTGTTTATTCTGAATAAATATGTCAACTTCCAGAGTTTCTGGGTTTAGTTTCCACCTGAAATATTAATTTTCTACTGGTCGACAAAAACTATTTATTTGGACCTTAAAACTTTCAATTTGGAAAAATCTCGCAATCTTATTTCTAGTTTGATGCATCGAGAGATTTCTCTAGGTTTGATCTGACATTCAATTCTGGATTCCTTGGAAGATATTATACGGTAATAATGATATCTCTGGCAAAGGTATCTGAACGATCTTGCATTGCTTTTAACATTTCTAGCCATTTCGTTCCCCACATTTTTTTCACATAATGTCATCGTGGTTTTGTTGTTAATTTTATATAACATTGTCTAAGTTTTTGTGAATACTTTCACTACCATATCCATGGCTTTCATTCATATGAAACAATTTATTTTATTTTTTTTTTTTTGTTTAATATATTTCCCCTAAGCTACTCTCCCGTTAGACTTGAACTTTAGCCAAACAGGCTGCTTTTTGTTGTTATTGTAATTATTGATTCGGATAACACTATTACATGTTTAGTATTCTGAATTTCGACTTCTTGGACCAATCACTATCAAATTTTATATTCATTTTTTGTGAGTTATTTTGGCAATCAATGCATTAATTGTAGGACTGCTTTGACCTTTGCAAGTGTCAATAAATGTAGAGGTTCAATATACAGATTACAGACTAAAGTACAATTCAAAAATGTCTCAATAGCTTGAGTAAGATTACCTGGATTACTGACTAGGGTTGATTCTATCTCTACAAAATCTTTGCGAGAATTTTGATAGAAACTATCATTTCTATTAAGGCCTTCAAGTTCATCTCAATTGTATTGATCACAAAACTACAAAGCTCCATTTTATGATGGGAAAAATTCAACAATAGGCTTTTCCCCATTTATCAGAAACTTCAGTTTGAAACAAATATTTCACTAACTTGAAATCATGTTCATGAGAAGCAGATAGGCGAGAGGTTAATGACATCAGAGAATCAATAAAAGATTCAAAACCAAATTAAATATTCCACAATAGCGCGTTATGGTATTTTCACGAGTTTGAGGGAAGCAAGGTCCATAGTAATGATCCCAAATGATGTTATATCATTCAACGGAGATATTTCCTGTGCCTCGAATGTATGCTTTTGGTCATATAAGCATCCTTAGCATGGACTTTCACCATCGGTAATCGTTTGGCCATCTCATGTTAGAGTACCATGTCTTCCATTTTGAAATATTCATACCAACTAGGCTAAATGGTTAAGGTTTAGATTTAAAATTTAGAGTTTAGATTGAGAACGAGTCTCTGGGAACAATCCTCTTTCTCCTGTAACAATATGTGACACAGAAATTGATCTATGCTTGACTTTGCTTTATGTTGCATATTTAAGAGTTAAATTAATCTCCTGTTTTTAAAGGATGGACAAAACATCAGATTGCTTAAAATCGTAGTTTTGAGAAATATTAAAGCTGCTTTCCATTTAGAAAAACTTAAGCTAAATTGTTATCATTTCTCAGAATCTCTGGTAACCTTGACCATACTTCATATTTCTATGTAGGTGACATTGAAACTTCAAAAAATATATGTAATTTACCTAAGTTTCTGTTTTAGTGAACTTCCAGATTGTTTTTCTAGATCTGATGTTATGTCAAACATTCATCTTTTTTAGATCCATTTTGGTTGAGTTTTAGAATAAAATTGATGTACCTGTCATTGGACAGGATTTTCCTACAGCGTAAGTTGTGCTGGAGCGACGTCGTCTATAATGACATTGTTTGCCGTGACTTCTAGCTGTATAGCTATTGCCAGCTGACAGTTTCTGCTTTCATTGGCCTATTCAAAAAGGCTGTCAAATACTTGTATTTATAATCTATTAAAAGATTTTGATCTAGAAAACTATATTTCCATGTCTTTGACAAAATTCAAAGTTTTTGTTGACTCATCACCAAACAATTATTTTGCCCAGCTTGGGGTATTCTCTTTTGGTTTTAGGTATGAAGACAGAAAATTCTCCAATTCACTCTTGTCAAATTGAAAATTTGAAGCATGAAGCTTGTTTCAACTACAGTAGTTGGTTATGGGAAATCCTTGTTCAGCAACAATAGCTGTTTTGATCAAAATATTGTACAAGTATTGTCATTTGATCTAGGGCTGTTAACCCGATTTCCATGGATAAGGAGCTTTATTTCAGAAAGTCCATGTGACACACATTACCAGTATTGCATATAGGCCATTTTCCCATTTTGCGATTGTAGATTTCTACCTGCTTTGGGACTAGGAACATTTTAAGTTCATTTACTTTTCTAGATAGCTTACTCTAGCCTTTTCTTCATATTTTGATAACTACTAGGATAATGTTTTTGACCAAAATTTATGGACAGATTTTACATGCTTGTCTGTTATCTTCAATTCAGACTTGTTCTCCTCAAATACTGAGTCAAACATATTGAACATATAAACCGCTGATAAACAGAACATGAATCTATAAGCACTAGATTACTAGAACTTGAATCAAAACAAAATGATTCTATTAATTTGAACCTACTATGAGGCTATGCAATTGGATATGCTCGCTGAAACTGTAATATGACCTCTAATATGACTATTATTCTGATGGCGGCTCATTTTGAACCTTGGTCAAACTTTGGTTTATAGGCCTTGAACTTTGGTCATTTGGACCTTTGGTGTGTGCATTCAGACATAAACTGTGGTCATTTAGACCTAAAATTTGGTCATTTAGAAATAACATGTGGTCATTCAGACCTAAACTGTGGTCATTTAGACCTAAACTGTGGTCATTTAGACCTAAAATGTGGTCATTTAGACCTTACCTAACATGTGGTCATTTAGACCTGGACTGTGGTCATTATAGACCATGGTCATTTAGACCTTCAGTATTCAAAATTCCATCTTGAAAAATCATAACATTTCCCTACCTGTCCAAGTACATTATTTCAGGAGCACTAGGGGCCGTAATGGTTCATGTCCAAACAAATGAAGATAGACTAGACATCTAGTAAATAAAAGTTCCAAAAACTGCAAACAAATGACTGTTGAAAAAATTCAACAAATCAAGCAGATCATCTGAACTAAAATCCATGTGCTATTTACAGCTATGTACAACTAGCCTAGTCTCTTACAAAGGTGTGTTTCCGTTGGCAGCTAAGCAAAAATAGACCTAGTTATCGGTGCATATGCATGTCCACTCAGCTGTACTACTCAGTTTTAATTTATTCAAATTAATACTACTAACAGCTGGAATCCGATAATAAGGGTTATTATGCGATATGAACTCTTAATAAGATGAGTGTAATAGAAATTCATTACATGTCATGGGCGCTGACATCTTGTTTTTGGAAGTGAATACTTCCGGGTTTGAAAATAATTTTCATAAACTTTTAAGTGCATGAGTCAAATCAAACAAAAGTAATATATTCATTTCAATTATTTTGACGTAATGAGATATTATTTCAAAACTAAAAACACTTGAAATATAGATTTAATTATATTCATTTCCGCAACAATCAACGAGCGCATGCGTACTTATAGTTCCTGACGTCATTTTCCGACATACTGAAAAACTTTTTGTGAATTTTCGCTTAGACAAAACAGGAATCCCGGAGTTACATATTTAGTAGGAAGAACATTAATAAGTGTAAGGTGTGTCTATTATACCCATGTAAACTTTTGGTTAGGAATCGCACGTCAAGATGAATGGTCTTTCTTTAGGTGAGTTGTGTTCTCTGTTCTGTTGTCCTCCATGTCCATCCAAAATCGCAGCAAAACTTGCCTTCCTCCCTCCAGAACCAACGTATTTGTTCATATCAGATGAGGCAGGATCGAAGTTCAGTCTACACCTAACTGATCGAGCAGAGTGGCAGTACACACAAAGAGAATTAGACTTTATTGAAGTTTTCAAAGCCAGAACGTCCAAAAACAATCACATCGCTTGTGCATATATACGCTGTTCACCAACTGCAAAGTATACACTGCTATTCAGTCATGGAAATGCTGTTGATCTGGGACAAATGGCAAGTTTTTATATTGGACTAGGATCACGATTAAACTGCAATATATTCAGTTATGATTACTCTGGTTACGGAGTTAGCTCAGGGAAGCAATCAGAAAAGAATATGTATGCCGATATAGAGGCAGCATGGAATTCTTTACGCACACGCTATGGCATCAGTCCAGAACATATTATACTTTATGGACAAAGTATCGGCACAGTACCAACTATAGACTTAGCATCACGGTATGAGGTCGGTGCCGTCATACTTCACTCCCCCCTGATGTCAGGAATGAGAGTGGCTTTCCCAGAAACAAAAAGAACGTGGTTCTTTGATGCATTCCCGAGGTAAGCTTATAGTAATATTCAGATTTATGGTTAGTAAAACCTTGACTTGAAGAAACTGTGAGTTAATTCAGGACCAACTTTAATTGTTCACTGATATATGTCCCCAAATTCATGATGTTTTGATATTGTGGGAGTTATTGATGTTTTCCAAAAGTTTGGTCCAAAAAAATGTTCACAATTGCGGTTAGTTAAGTCTAATTTTATGATGTTGTCATGTTACAAAGTCTCAAATATTATATTTTCAAAGGCACTCTTCACTGATGAATATAAAGTTTAGTTTTTTTGGATTCCTTATCTTTTTATATATTCGCATTGTCAGCTGTTTACTCAGGTCATCAGGTGTTTAGATACATATAATCCTTTAGTCCAAGGCTGTAAGTTGTTCTTTATTGAATGGTATTTTTTTCTTCAATATGATATTTTTTGTTTTGACAAGTTAGAATGTTGATATATATTTCGATGATACAGTATATGGTATTTTTAAGTTAAAATTATATCGATTATGGGTAGCTTATAAGTACAATAACCGTTCTGCCATATGTGTATGCCAAATTATATGTGCTTGTAGTTGTAGTAGAACTAAACCTAAAGTGATGTTTGGATAAATTACAAATGGTTGATACAAATTAGGCATAATCATGCAATATCAAATCCTTTTTGGGAAACTCAACTATTCTAAAATTGCTCTTATATTTATGATTTACCAGTTTCTCATCATGATGAACCATGCCATCTCAAATCTTCTCAGCCCTGAGGTGAAACAGAAAGATGCTATGAGTATCAGAATGCCAGTTTCTAGGATTTCTTGTTTTTATTTATTCATACTTTGGAACTGATATTCTTTGTGCTTTTATAGTCTTGCTCAAAGACTGTATCCCCCCCCCGTTACCTTCACTCTCTTTACCTGCAATATACAGAGAGAAGGTTAAAGGGGGGGGGGGGAGTACAGGGTCTTTTAAGCAAGACTAGTGCTTTTATATGAACTCAGTAACCCCAAATTTAATGAAAGCCATATTTTCTGGTTTATGTGGTTTTTAAACCATTCTCAAGATTTCTTACAAAAAATGAAAGAACAACTGATTTAATTGGCTTAATGATATCACATGATCAACATTGACCAGTAACTATTTCCGCTTGTGACAAATTATGATAGATATGGATCTATAACACATTCCCTTACAACATTGTTGACTTTTATTCATCAGCAAAGTTGAAGTAGACATGGAATGAGGCAATTTGTATTTCACCAGACTGTATAATAGGAAATGAGAATATGTAGTTCCTCATCTGAGCAGTGAAATTAAAAAACAGTACTAATAATAGTAATTGTACTTTACTCCTAGTCAAGTGAATAATCTGTACTTGAAAACCATAATGACAATATAGATGAATTTGATAATGAAATTAATTTCCTCTTTCCTAGCTTCTACACATTTTGTTTTTCCAAGAAACTACAATGTGATTCTATCATGTTGAGATAAATTTGCCAAACCCAACCAATAGTTACACTAATATTTATAATATTTCAACTAAAGAACATAAACTTTAGATTTATTTGTTTGTCAATATTATTTATTGGTTCACAGATCTAACTAAAGACCATGTATGAGTCACACGGGAAGCCCTGATTTATAGCTCTGTTAATGATCAATTAAATCTTATCTTTTATTATCTATTTATTGATATCAATAAAATATTGGAATGTAATTATAATCTACACATTACTGAAAATAAGCAAACTAAACATAAGAATAAAGTGAAAGCTGTTTTATCTGAACACTGCTGGAATGGGCCAAAAGTGTTCAGATAGGCAGGTGTTCACTTTTTGAGGAATTGTAACATGGAAGTCTATGGCAGTTTTTGAAAATGGGACTGTTAAAAGCATTCACATTGAGAGGTGTTTGTACAGCTTTTTCTGTAAATCCTTTGAAAGTAAATTATACAGCAGCATACTACAGGTCATCCTTCTTCAAAGGACTTCATTTATGCCTAAATTCATATACATGTACTTGTAAAATACCCTTGCAGCAAGGATGACTACAGGTATCTGAATCATTCAAGGAAGAATCAGAGAGAGAATAATTATGATTCATCCATTCTAATAAATGCAGAGGAGGCAAGTGTCATATTCAATCATTTCTTGGAATTGTAATGTTTATTAAACAACTTCATCTGAAGCTTTTAGCATGCACCTGGCACTGTCCGTGTTAAATATATATGAGATCGTACATTAGCAGAACTCTCCTCCTAAATCAAAACTTGCTGTCTTGCTGTATTGATTGCTAGGTAGATATTATTGGCATATTTGGCTCTTGAATTGACATCTGTATGTTTTCTTATATTGGGTGCAAACAGATTACTAATTTATTGAGACAGCATGACGTGACAGTTCAATTGAAGAAAAATTTCATTAGTCTTGCTTCAAGTCCTCCTCTGAACCCCCTCATCTTCATATAGTCCAAAGATTTGTAGTGGGGATGAGGGTCGCAAATGCTTTAGCTCTAAATGTCAAGCATTATAGGAAATTTTTGGTATTCAGAGGTAAAATTTTGATCAATTTTTAGTTTGGAACCAGTGATCATTATATTATATTTTAGTTACAAATCAGTTTTCAAATAAGTGTAAACTAATTTTCAGAATCTCAAAAAGGTACAGCGCCAACTTGCCTCAATTTGTCGAACCCCCAACCTCTGGCTATAGGCCTCTATCTTAACTTGTACAAGGTTTTTCATACTTGTTTTTCCAAAGGGAGTCAACAGGGGCTTAGTTTGATATTTACTTTCTGAAAATCAATTGAAAAGTATACCAATTAAACTTTTGGCAGTTTTGAATCATCAGTTGTTTTAGGCCATGTAGAATGATTAAACTGATTTGCATATCTTGTCATTAATTAACAGAAAAAATGATCCTACTCTAACTACCTTGATATCAATAAGATGGATTAGTATCAGCCTAACCTGATAACATAGAAAACCAATAGGCGTGTATGTCATTACTGAATGTTATGGATATTGCCCAATATTGATGTATCTACTCAAGTTTATATATAGAAATCAATAGATTGTTGAAAAGTACTAACCTTGCTTTTATAATTTATGAATATTTATGGAGGTATTGTAACCTCATTAATACCTGATACTCTTATCACAATTTATATGGGCCTAAATCTATTTTTTCATATTATTGATACTGCGTACAAAACTCTGATGTATGAACTCTTAAGTGTGACCTTGACCTCAGTTGAATGACACTTTTTTGCCGTAACCTAGACCAAGAAGTTCTCAGTATGACATGAATTCTTGTGTTTGTTAGTAAGGAATACTCGGGGTGGAAGGTGTGAGAATTGTGCAAAAAATGACTTTGTGAGCTGGATGGAGTTTCTCTGTATTTTTCATTCTATTAGGGTTTCCTGCATAAGGGATTTCGCCTGCGAAGCATATAACTCTTGCGAACATATCTAAATATTGGTCCGAGGAAGACATACCTTGAATTTTTTAGAAAAAAATTGGCTAAAAATGGAAACTACAAAAAGTCAAAATGTTCAACTCAAACAAAACTCTAGCTATTTAATATTAACACTATGTATTATTTAATGTTTTTCAGATGTTTAAGGACCTTCATTAGTGTACTAGTGTCTAGAAATAAGATAATTAAGGACAAAATTTGGCATTTTTGATCATTTTCGCTTTCAGCAGTAACATATAGTTCCTTATATCTTGAGTTTAATGTTGACTGGTTGTTGCAATTTTGATTAAATCTGTGCTTGTACATGTCTTCTTCCATTTAAGATACAAAAAATGTATATTGGACCACCAATGGTCATATTAGAGCTTTCAGATCTCCCCTACCCCATTTATTATGAAAAATTAGTGAAACATATGAAAATATAAAATAACTTGAATTTATAAACTTTAACAATGTTGTAGCTATTCTATATCAATATTATGTATTATTTAATGTTTTTCAGATATTTCAGAACCTTTATTGGTATACTAGTGCCTAGAAATGAGACATTTAAGGACAAAACTTGGCATTTTTTAAAATCATTTTAGCTTTCAGCAGTAACATATAGTTCCTCATATATTGAGTTTTATGCTTACTGGTTGTTGCAATTGTAATAAAATCTGTTTTTGTAGATGTCTTCTTCCATTTAAGGTATAGAAAATGTATAGTGGACCACCAATGGTCATATTAGAGCTTTCAGATCTCCCCTACCCCATTTATCATGAAAAATATAAGAAAAATATGAAAATATAAAATAAATTGAAACTATAAACTTTAAAAAGTTGTAGCTATTCTATATCAATATTATGTGTTATTTAATGTTTTTAAGATATTTCAGAACCTTTATTGGTAAACTAGTGCCTAGAAATGAGACATTTAAGGACAAAACATGGCTTTTTTGACCATTTTCGCTTTCAGCAATACCATATAGGTCCTTATATCTTGAGTTTAATGCTTACTGGTTGGTGCATTCTTAGTCAAATTTGTTCTTGTACATGTCTTCTTCCATTTAGGATATAGAAAATGTATATTGGACAACCAATGTTGATATTATAGCTTTCATGTCTCCCCTGCCCCATTTATGTAAATGAAAAAGTAATTTCAAATCATCAACTTTAACAAAATTGTAGCTATTCTCTATCGATACTATGTATTATTTAATGTAACCCTCATTTGATTACATGTGTCTAAAATTTGGCATTTTTAGCATTCTGCATTTAGCAGTAGCATATAATTTTCCACAATTATAATTCTTTGATGATAGATTCATATATGTTTTTTATTGAATCTGTCTTCTCTGATTTAACTTAAAGAAAATGTATGTAAGACAACGAATGTTTTTATTAGAGGTCTAAGATCTGCCCTCCACCATTAAATGAGAAAACCAACACAAATGTTATTATTGCATGATAATATTCTTAAACTTTTCAAAAGTTTAGCATATTTATTAGCACACTAAAATCAAAAAATGACACATAAATGGGCAAAATGACCAA